TTACCCAGACATTTTAGATTATTTTGACACAGTAACAGTATCCAGTACAGCTCAGTTACATTAACAGTAATAACTCAGTAAGCTCAGTTTACATTAACAGTAATATCTCAGTACAGCTCAGTTACATTAACAGTAATAACTCAGTACAGCTCAGTTACATTAACAGTAATATCTCAGTACAGCTCAGTTACATTAACAGTAATAACTCAGTACGCTACCAACCATTTGCAGTGGATATCTGGTGTTAAATATTATACCACTGGCTACAAATCACTGTTCAAACACACACACACAGACATACACAAACACACTATAAATCACCAGTGTGTTGATCAGAGTCCAGCAGCACTCAGCTAACAGATTCATTATTGATCTCCTTCCAGACCCATCAGACTCCACTGGCAAATTTTCCTATGCATCTCCTTACCAGACCCATCAGACTCCACTGAGCAGCTAACAGATTCATTATTGATCTCCTTCCAGACCCATCAGACTCCACTGAGCAGCTAACAGATTCATTATTGATCTCCTTCCAGACCCATCAGATCCACTGAGCATGTTTGAGGAGCTTGAGATACACACTCACGCTTACACACGCACACACATAGCCACGCTAACACACACACACACACACAGCCACACTTACACACACACACACACACACACCAACTGTTTATTCCCCCAAAAAAATATGGGAGAATTTTACAGAGATCCCATAAATGTTGTTGTTTAATTCGTGTGTGTGTTCGGCATCATATTGGCTCCTTTCCAATGTAACCTCTGATTGTACATTTACAGGAGAGATACACTTTGATACAAACTTACAGTACAAAGCTTTTCAGAGATGAGATTCAGAGAATCAAAAATGACATCACTCCGTCTTGTCGCTCCTCTTTATTTGGGAAACAGAACGAGAACATCTGAACTTCAATGTTAAGTTGTATGTAGAATTACAGTAACGTTGTTAAGTTACACTAACTTAAAGTTGTTAAGTTAACAGTATTAAACACAGTGGCATCCATAGAATTACACATAGAACCGTGTATTATAATATATCTCTATGGTAACATCACAGACAGGTCCCTGTATTATAATATATCTCTATGGTAACATCACAGACAGGTCTCTGTATTATAATATATCTCTATGGTAACATCACAGACAGGTCCCTGTATTATAATATATCTCTATGGTTACATCACAAACAGGAAGAGGTAAGCACAAGGGTCATGCAGGACCAAACACCTTGAATACCTTCATCACATCATTAGCTGGCAATCATTAACACAATGGCACTAGACTGGATTTCTGCATACCAAATCAACCCCTAGCCCATATGGTCAAATCAACCCCTAGCCCATATGGTCAAATCAACCCCTAGCCCCTAACCCCTAGCCAATTAATATATGGTTGCAAGGAGATGGCTCTCTTTCTGTGATCTCCTCTGCTATCTACACTACCGGTCAAAAGTTTTAGAACACCTACTCATTCAAGGGTTTTTCTTTATTTTTGCTATTTTCTATATTGTAGAATAATAGTGAAGACATCAAAACTATGAAATAACACGTGGAATCAAGTAGTAACCAAATAAGTGTTAAACAAATCTAAATATATTTTATATTTGAGATTCTTCAAATAGCCACCCTTTGCCTTGATGACAGCTTTGCACACTCTTGGCATTCTCTCAACCAGCTTCATGAGGTAGTCACTTGGAATGCATTTCAATTAACAGGTGTGCCTTCTTAAAAGTTAATTTGTGGAATTTCTTTCCTTCTTAATGCGTTTGAGCCAATCAGTTGTGTTGTAACAAGGTAGACTGTAAAAGACCAAGTCCATATTATGGCAAGAACAGCTCAAATAAGCAAAGAGAAACAACAGTCCATCATTACTTTAAGACATGAAGGTCAGTCAATACAGAACATTCCAATAACTTTTAAGGTTTCTTCAAGTGCAGTCGCAAAAACCATCAAGCGCTATGATCATGAGGACCGCCACAGGAATGGAAGACCCAGAGTTACCTTTGCTGCAGAGGATAAGTTCATTAGAGTTATCAGCCTCAGAAATTGCAGCCCAAATAAATGCTTCACAGAGTTCAAGTAACAGACACATCTCAACATCAACTGTTCAGAGGAGACTGCATGAATCAGGCCTTTATGGTCGAATTGCTGAAAAGAAACCACTACTAAAGGACACCAATAAAAAGAAAATACTTGCTTGGGCCACGAGCAATGGACATTAGACCGGTGGAAATTTGTCCTTTGGTCTGGAGTCCAAATGTGAGATTTTTGGTTCCAACCGCCGTATCTTTGTGAGACGCGGTGTGGGTGAACGGATGATCTCCGCATGTGTAGTTCCCACCGTAAAGCATGGAGGAGGAGGTGTGATGGTGTGGGGGTGCTTTGCTGGTGACACTGTCTGTAATTTATTTAGAATTCAAGACACACTTAACCAGCATGGCTACCACAGCATTCTGCAGCGATACGCCATCCCATCGGGTTTGGGCTTAGTGGGACTATCATTTGTTTCTCAACAGGACATTGACCCAACACACGTCCAGGCTGTGTAAGGGCTATTTTACCAAGAAGGAGAGTGATGGAGTGCTGCATCAGATGACCTGGCCTCCACAATCCCCCGACCTCAACAAAATTGAGATGGTTTGGGATGAGTCGGACCGCAGAGCGAAGGAAAAGCAGCCAGGTGAAGCTGGTTGAGAGAATGCCAAGAGTGTGCAAAGCTGTCATCAAGGCAAAGGGTGGCTATTTGAAGAATCTCAAATATAAAATATATTTTGATTTGTTTAACACTTTTTTGGTTACTACAAGATTCCATATGTGTTATTTCATAGTTTTGATGTCTTCACTATTATTCCACAATGTAGAAAATAGTAAAAAATAAAGAAAAACCCTTGAATGAGTAGGTGTTCTAAAACTTTTGACCGGTAGTGTTTATTAAGGGTCCACTCCAGGTTTGAACAGTTCAAGCCTCTTGTGTTTGCAAACAACAACCTGGTCATGGATATATTGTTAACGCATCCTGAATCTGCTGCCATGGCAACTTATCCTGGCTTGTTACCATGGCTACAGCATAAACATATCCTGGCTTTGGAGAGTCATTCTCTGCATAGAAATTTAATGATCATTCTAATTCCATGATTCTCTTCCCCTTCTGCTTTCCAGTGGCTTTAAACACACACAGTACTGTACTGCCCATGAAAAACACACTGTATACTGGATAACACAGTACTGTACTGCCCATGAAAAACACACTGTATATTGGATAACGCAGTACTGTACTGCCCATGAAAACACACTGTATACTGGAAGTAACGATAACACAGTACTGTATGCATGAAAAAACACCTGTATACTGGATAAGCAGTATGTATGGCCCACTGTGAAAAACAGTATACGATAACGCGTACTGTATGCCATGAAAACAACACGTATACTGGATAAAACAGTACTGACTGCGCCATGAAAACACCTGATTGGTACACAGTATGTACTGCCATGAAAAACCGGTAATGGAGACAGTCATGTACTGCCATGAAAAAACACAACCGTGATTTGATAACCAGTTACTGTACTGCCATGGAAACCGTATTACGATAACACCAGTACTGTACTGCCCATGAAAAACACACTGTATACTGGATAACACAGTACTGTACTGCCCATGAAAAACACACTGTATACTGGATAACACAGCACTGTACTGCCCATGAAAAAACACACTGTATATTGGATAACACAGTACTGTACTGCCCATGAAAAAACACACGTATATGGATAACACAGTACTGTACTGCCCATGAAAAACACACTGTATACTGGATAACGCAGTACTGTGCTGCCCATGAAAAACACACTGTATACTGGATAACACAGTACTGTACTGCCCATGAAAAACACACTGTATACTGGATAACACAGTACTGTACTGCCCATGAAAAACACACTGTATATTGGATAACACAGTACTGTACTGCCCATGAAAAACACACTGTATACTGGATAACACAGTACTGTACTGCCCATGCAAAACACATGTATATTGGATAACACAGTACTGTGCTGCCCATGCAAAACACACCGTATACTGGATGTGCAACTTACAGCTCCACATCCCGCCTGCCCCCAGCCCTTCACTCCCTTGTATATTTGTTTTTCCTCATGATGTAGTGTGTTTGTGGAGACAAACTGTGGTTCCGATTATTGTTGTGGCTTTTAGCCAACTTCTGCAGTTAAAAATCTTGGAGAAAAAATACATATCTGGCACACTATATTTTTCGCAAAAGTGGATCACAGTAATAAATGTCGATGTGAAAGCATGATTTCTCTGTCTGTTTGCGTTTCGAGATCGAACGAGTTTGAATATTGTGTTGTAGAATGTTGCCTTCTTGTCACAGGCAGTACAGGCAATACACAATACAGAAACAAAGAAATACAGTACCTCACGTATTTACTGTAAAGGGGACTACATTAAAACGTGCACATATTAACAGAATTTGACAAATTACTCAGTATCAGGCTCAATATAAACAAAAAGGCATTTAATACAAAAAAAAAAATGTACATTTACACCCGATAAGAAAAGGTATATACTATGGAATGTTTCTAAGACAGAAACTCTACAATAAAGGTTTTCCAACATCCCATTCTCAAACATCCTCATCACATCTAGCCTCCCTCATGTAATGTATTGGGGGGGGGGGGGGATATGGAAATAAGGCAAAATATTTGCTCATATTAGAGGGGACAAACAACAACAAAAGTATTCGATAATTTCAACTCATGATTCCTACACGCCTACAAGACACTGTCCCTCAAACACTGAACATTGAGAAATATATCTGTATATAATCTGTCATATATTAATGAACTGTAACAGCACTCGTGTGCTCTATTCTCAGTGTGTCACCACCTTCCCTCCTCCTGAGTCCAGAGCCAGCAGCCTCTCAAGGATTTTAAAACATCAAGGAGATCATTGTCCTCCATCTCAGGGAGTGGAACACAGCTGCGGGCCTACTGTTGCCAGGTGACCGTTTCCAATGCAGGGACATTATGTAACCAGGATATGCATGGTGATGTAATACCAAGGGGGAGGAGTCAGAGGGTTCTTCTTCTAGCTTGTTTATTGACCCAATGAAGAGAGAGATAGGAGGACATGATGGGAGGAAACAAGGGGACGTTTCCAGAAGAGAACAGGAAAGACAACACAAGTGTAATAAGGACCCAAAGAGTGAGGGAGATGGAAATAGAAGGAATAGATAGAAAAAAAGAAAGAGAAAGAGAGAGAGGAAAGAGTGAGTCAAGTAATTACATTTTCATTAAAATTCCCCCAAATTCCTAATAATATCCAAACAACTTCAAATGTATAAAGCTAAATAAAAAGCTGAACAGACTGGAGGGCCATCTCACGGGTCACAGATAGTAAGTGACTGAGAAGCCTCACCTGTGTATATATATATATATAACCCAGAATGGGATCCAGCCAGTCTATGCAGACAGCAGAAACCCAGTCACTGTAGTGGGAAGACAAGAAACAAGAGGGTTGTTACAGTCTGAACGAACAGAAAACATCGGTCCTACATTATTAGTAATGACCATTAGACAAGGAGTAGCCTAGGTTACAGTAGCTAGGTTACATTAGCTAGGTTACTACGTGAGTGAATAGCAAAACAATCCACTGCTAGGCTACATAATAAGCTAACAAAATGTTCTGATCAGTTTGGTGGACTAAACTCCACTCCATAGGTGAAGGAAGTTTTCTGATGAACGTCACCAACGGCGTTGAACCGAGACCAGGCATTGTGGAATCTAGCTCTGACTACATCGATTCGCCCAAGGTCAATACTTTAAAAAAACATTTAAATTATGAAACGCCCACCTTGTACCTGTTTGGCCTCTGTAGTTGGGTGCCTTTTTTTGTTTGCTGAAATCCAAACTTTTTCAATAAACATTAATCAAATACAACCCCACTATGGAAAGGGGAGACTCTCACGAACACAATGGTGTTCTCCGATTTTCTCTACGGCCCCCACAAGTGTCACGGGACTCGTCTGAAGGTAACCCATACAAATGAATGGAAGTATGGACGTAGTTTTGTAGCAACAAAAATAAGGGGTTAAATATGTAAAAAAAAAAGTAAAATATTTCTTTTATCTCCTAGATATAGGACAGATACTTCAACCCCCCCAAGCTGTCCACTCAAGAAAAAGCGTCAAACATCAATAAGGGATCATATCTTTCACCTGGATTCACCTGGTCAGTCTATGTCATGGAAATAGCAGGTGTTCTTAATGTTTTGTACACTCAGTGTATATTGTTTGTATAAGTGGCCCCAGCGGGAATCGAACCCACGATCCTGGCATTGCAAGCGGAATGCTGTACCAAACTGAGCCACAACAATAATACATTGTATTTGTGCCTTTCGAGGTACCCAACAATACTTAAAGATTATTGTTGAACTTTAAAAGGAAATCAAGGGTTCTCACATTTCTGTCCTTAAAAGTATTTCTTTGAGAATTTACAAGTATTTCCTGGCCTAGCACCCCATGAAAATGGATGTCGATTTTGACTACTGATCGGTTCTGACTTCTAAACTTGAAATATCCAAATTCATGTTACTCAGGGAGAGAGGGGAATACAGAGAGTTTACATTCTGTCAGAACATGTTATTGTTAGATATTAGGGAGTTCAGTTGTTGGGTTGTAATTTGAAATACTTGTTACACCAGAAGTTAATGTTTATATGTAGGAGGAATGTATACAGTGGGGAAAAAAAGTATTTAGTCAGCCACCAATTGTGCAAGTTCTCCCACTTAAAAAGATGAGAGATGCCTGTAATTTTCATCATAGGTACACGTCAACTATGACAGACAAATTGAGAAAAAAAAATCCAGAAAATCACATTGTAGGATTTTTAATGAATTTATTTGCAAATTATGGTGGAAAATAAGTATTTGGTCAACTACAAACAAGCAAGATTTCTGGCTCTCACAGACCTGTAACTTCTTCTTTAAGAGGCTTCTCTGTCCTCCACTCGTTACCTGTATTAATGGCACCTGTTTGAACTTGTTATCAGTATAAAAGACACCTGTCCACAACCTCAAACAGTCACACTCCAAACTCCACTATGGCCAAGACCAAAGAGCTGTCAAAGGACACCAGAAACAAAATTGTAGACCTGCACCAGGCTGGGAAGACTGAATCTGCAATAGGTAAGCAGCTTGGTTTGAAGAAATCAACTGTGGGAGCAATTATTAGGAAATGGAAGACATACAAGACCACTGATAATCTCCCTCGATCTGGGGCTCCACGCAAGATCTCACCCCGTGGGGTCAAAATGATCACAAGAACGGTGAGGAAAAATCCCAGAACCACACGGGGGGACCTAGTGAATGACCTGCAGAGAGCTGGGACCAAAGTAACAAAGCCTACCATCAGTAACACACTACGCCGCCAGGGACTCAAATCCTGCAGTGCCAGACGTGTCCCCCTGCTTAAGCCAGTACATGTCCAGGCCCGTCTGAAGTTTGCTAGAGTGCATTTGGATGATCCAGAAAGGATTGGGAGAATGTCATATGGTCAGATGAAACCAAAATATAACTTTTTGGTAAAAAACTCAACTCGTCGTGTTTGGAGGACAAAGAATGCTGAGTTGCATCCAAAGAACACCATACCTACTGTGAAGCATGGGGGTGGAAACATCATGCTTTGGGGCTGTTTTTCTGCAAAGGGACCAGGACGACTGATCCGTGTAAAGGAAAGAATGAATGGGGCCATGTATCGTGAGATTTTGAGTGAAAACCTCCTTCCATCAGCAAGGGCATTGAAGATGAAACGTGGCTAGGTCTTTCAGCATGACAATGATCCCAAACACACCGCCCGGGCAACGAAGGAGTGGCTTCGTAAGAAGCATTTCAAGGTCCTGGAGTGGCCTAGCCAGTCTCCAGATCTCAACCCCATAGAAAATCTTTGGAGGGAGTTGAAAGTCTGTGTTGCCCAGCGACAGCCCCAAAACATCACTGCTCTAGAGGAGATCTGCATGGAGGAATGGGCCAAAATACCAGCAACAGTGTGTGAAAACCTTGTGAAGACTTACAGAAAACATTTGACCTGTGTCATTGCCAACAAAGGGTATATAACAAAGTATTGAGAAACTTTTGTTATTGACCAAATACTTATTTTCCACCATAATTTGCAAATAAATTCATTAAAAATCCTACAATGTGATTTTCTGGATTTTTTTTTCTCATTTGTCTGTCATTGTTGACGTGTACCTATGATGAAAATTACAGGCCTCTCTCATCTTTTTAAGTGGGAGAACTTGCACAATTGGTGGCTGACTAAATCCCTTTTTTCCCCACTGTATGGTGGGGTCAGATAAGGGTGGATATGAGCCATGGGCTTGGATAGTTCACTGATAAGGGTGGATAGCTGTGGATTAGTGAGGAATGGGGTCCGAGGTGAGTTCAGGTCAGACGAAGTGAGAAAGAAAAGGCATCACTAAAGTCCTGCCTAGCAACAGAGATGTATTGGCTGTCCAGATGTGTAAGGAGGAGACTCAGCATAGGAGGAAGGTTTAAATACCAGTGCTTGTGTAAATATGTATTTGTCTTATGCAGCTGTGTGACCCAGTGGGTGAATAAACTTGGTTTGAGCTTTACTAGTCGTCCGTGAGTTTTTACTCTGTTTATTTAGAATCTAACACAACGTACAATAAGTATTCATACCCCTTGACTTATCCCACATATTGTTGGGTTACAGCCGAGTTAAAAATGGATGAAATAGGTTTTATCTCTCACCCATCTACACACAATACCCCATGATGACAAAGTGAAAATATGTTTTTAGAAATGTTTGCAAATGTATTGAAAATCAAATACAGAAAAATCCTATTTACTTAAGTATTCAAACCCATGAGTCAATAAATGTTAGAGTCTCCTTTGGCAGTGATTACAGCTGTGAGTCTTTCTGGGTAAGTCTCTAAGATCTTTGTACACCTGGATTGTACAATATTTCCACATTATTCTTAAAAAAATTATTCAAGCTTTGTCAAATTGCTTGTTGATCATTGCTAGACAGTCATTTTCAGGTCTTGCCGTAGATTTTCAAGCCGATTTAAGTCAAAACTGTAACTAGGCCACTCAGGAACATTCAGTGTCGTCTTGGTAAGAAACCCCAGTGTGTATTCAGTGGTGTTAAGTACTTAAGTAAAAATACTTTAAAGTATTACTGTAAATACTTAAGTGAAAAATAATTTAAAGTACAACTTAAGTAGTTTTTTTGGGTATCTGTACATTACTATTTATATTTTTGACAACTTTTACTTCACTACATTCCTAAAGAAAATTATGTACTTTTTACTCCATACATTTTCCCTGACACCCAAAAGTACTCGTTACATTGTGAATGCTTTGCAGGACAGGAAAATAGTCAAATTCACGCACTAATCAAGAGAACATCCCTGGTCATCCCTACTGCCTCTGATCTGACGGACTCACTAAACACACATGCTTTGTTTGTAAATGACGTCTGCGTGTTGAAGTGTGCCCCTAGCTATCCGTAAATTTAAAAAAACAAGAAAATGGTGCCGCCTGGTTTGTTTAATTTAAGGAATTTGAAATTATTTATACTTTTACTCTTGATACTTAAGTATATTTTAGCAATTACATTTACTTATGATACTTAAGTATATTTAAAACCAAATACTTTTAGACTTTTACTCAAGTAGTATTTTACTGGGTGAATTTCACTTTTACTTGAGTCATTTTCTATTCAGGTATCTCGAGGCTTTGGAAAACCTCCCTGGTTTTTGTGGTTGAAATCTGTGTTTGAAATTCACTGTTCGACTGAGGGACCTTAAAGATAATTGTAAGTGTTGGGGTCATTCAAAAATCACGTTAAACACTATTATTGCACGCAGAGTCCATGCAACGTATTATGTGACTTGTTAAGCATATTTTTACTCCTGAACTTGTTTAGGCTTGCCATAACAAAGGCGTTGAATGCTTACTGACTCAAGACATTTCAGCGTTTCGAAAATGTCTAAAAACATAATTCCACTTTCACATTATGGGGTACTGTGTGTAGGCCAGTGACACAACATTTAATCCAATTTTGAATTCAGGCTGTAACACTACAAAATGTTGAAAAAGTAAAGGGGTGTGAATACTTTCTGAAGGCACTGTATACTATTAACCCCATCTCTGAAATGTGATGTGGTTGATTACCTATGCTATCCTCACCATCGGGACACATGAGTAGGATATGTTACACAGATCATTAAGGGTGCTGTAGTATATTATGCTATTCTCACCATCCTTGGTGTCCTCTGGCAGCAGAGCGTCCTGTCGGTTGCCCAGCACGAAGGCCAGAGTGGCCAGGATGGCAGCATCCAGGACCCCCAACAAGGCCAGGACAAAGGCCCAGTGCACAGAGCAGTTTCCTGAGGAGAAACTGGTCACCCCCTCCCCACACAGGTCCCGCATGTCCGCACAATCCCACGAGTCAGGGAACAGCACGCAGGCTAGAGCCAGGCAGAACCCTTAGAGAGGACGACAACACAGTGTAGTCAGGATCCGGGCTAGAGCCAGGCAGAAACCTTAGAGAGGACGACAACACAGTGTAGTTAGGATCCGGGCTAGAGTCAGGCAGAACCCTTAGAGAGGACGACAACACAGTGTAGTCAGGATCCAGGCTATAGCCAGGCAGAACCCTTAGAGAGGACGACAACACAGTGTAGTCAGGATCCGGGCTAGAGCCAGGCAGAAACCTTAGAGAGGACGACAACACAGTGTAGTCAGGATCCGGGCTAGAGCCAGGCAGAAACCTTAGAGAGGACGACAACACAGTGTAGTCAGGATCCAGGCTATAGCCAGGCAGAACCCTTAGAGAGGACGACAACACAGTGTAGTCAGGATCCAGGCTATAGCCCGGTAGAAACCTGCACAGAAAATAGAATAGAACTTTATTGTCCATTTCCAGAATGGAAATATTTATTTAGCATTGCCATATAATAATTACACACCACAATACAACACAGGGTAGTCAAAATCAGGATATGTTCAGCTATTTAAAGGGCCTATCTCAAGGTCAATCTCTTTATAGCTGTCATGACTGACCACGAGAATCCAAATAGACCCTTGTTCCCGCTGAAACTCTAACACATTCAAAATCGAACACTGGAACAATATTTCTAATGTAGAATGTGGGGAATGGTCAGAGGCAATCTATACAACACTAAAGAAGTCAATGTATTTGTTATTTTGTGATGTCATTAAAAATATTATAAAGAAAATACTGTAACTTGGAAAGTATTACCCGCTACATAGATGAAGTTTCCATACTATGGGTTGTTCGTGTAATATAAAAAATGATGAAAGTGTTTTTGTTATGAGAGGGATGTGATTTGCAAAGTTATAAGAGATAATTGTTTTCCATAACTTTGCACAGTGAGTAATCACCGCCCAACGAAGTGATGTCAGCCTGCCGGAACCGCCCCTTTCAAGGTATAAATGATGGGTTACGAATGATGGGTTACGAATGAACACATCAGACCAGAAATATGTGAAGCTGCAGCTGCGCGTATAAAATGGTTTGAACTTTGAATGTCAACACGAGGTGGAGACGATAAACTCACCTCAATCACCGGACAATTCAATTACTGGCACGGCTGATTAGCTGTCCTAAGTAAAGTATCTTTGAAAGCTAATTGAAGTAGGACCATCCTGTTACGCTGCTCAAACCATCGTATTACGCTACTCTCATCACCCCAATGAGGAACCATCGATACGGCTGGCTAGCTATCTTCAAAGAAGCATCTTCAAGAGCGAATGGAAGGAAAATCAACTCTGTAGTTCTGTTCAGGACTACACAACAAGTCACCGGGTACCGGACAACTACAAAGAAGGACAACGGGAGAAGAGTTGTTGGATAATCAGAGCCGCGAAAGGGCTCAACCCCCTTTCCAAGGCTGCCCCGTTCACCGAGAGATCCCCGGCAAACCCAGGCATTTCACGTAAATACATTCATGATTTCTTGATCAAAGTGGGCGGCGGTTCGTGTGCAAAGTATATGGTTACTGTAGGTGAGAGTAGTTTCTGAATGTGGCAATGTTAAGTGTCTCTGTCCCTCTCTCTAACCCTCTCCATCTCTTCTTTAACAAGCATCCATGTTGTTGTCAGTCCACTAGGGACCTGTTTTCAGCGTATTAAGCCTCCAGTCAATAACCGGTGCAAAGTGTGTGTGTTTATCCTGTGTTCCCATTTAATTAGCTAGTGAATAAATAATTAAACCAATTTGTGTAGTACTGAATCATAAGTAAGGCTGGAGTTTTTGCAGGTGCAAGGAGGTTACGACTGTTCAGAATGATGATATGACACAAGGTTATGATTAATAAGTTGACTGTTTATAGATGTGATAGTTAAAGACCTTTTAGAGTTTAATTCAGGATATGGTGACTCTTTAAAGAACTGCTCTCGTGGTGCCCCAGATCCTAATGAGTTAATTGTTACATGATTAATTTAAAATTGGGTAACAATGAAACATAGTTAGTTAATTAGATAAATAACAGTCTTCAGATTAATGTTAAAGTCAAGTCACGACATAACGATATAATGTAGAGTGTACCTGCAGTAAGCTGCAGCCAAGCGCAGATCTTGTAGACGGTGGCGGCGTTGCAGAATCTGAAGAGGGAGAGGCAGCCGACGCTGGCCCAGACCATGGTCAGGGACATGCAGACCAGCACGGCAGGTGACTGGAAGGCTGGGAGAGGGGTCAGAGTGCTCAGGGATCCACGACACTCTGGAACCGGCCAATCAGACTCCACACACACCTACAAACACAGTGGCAAACATTAGGGGTTGGGGGGGTGGATGCCGTTTTCAATAAAAAAATGTGGTACTGTAACACTTTACTTAAAGTATGCTTTATTACCTGTTAAAATCATGTGTAAGAGTCTTAAAGGGATAGTGCGACATTTTGGCAATGACTACCTTTTTTCTACCTACCCTGAGTCAGATGAAGTCATTGATACCATTTGTATGTCTCTGCAAGCAGTTTGAAGGAAGTTGAAGGTAGTTTCGCAGCCATGGCTAACTAGCGTTAGCTTAATGACGAAGTCTACAGGACTTATCCCTTTAATGTCTTATTATAAGGCTTTTAATACTGTATGTCTTTATGTAGGACATTTTCAACTGATTAAAAATGGCTGTTATTTAGTCAGGACCATAGTCAATTTGAACTCACTTCCTCAATTAATTGAGGACTTAAAACCTTTTTAAACAAAAGACACACACACCTCGAACAGTCCCAGGGTGCCAGTCTTTGGCGCAGGGCCCCCTCCCTGATAGTGAACCTCTCTGGTGCCCACCCAGGAGGGCTGTATGAGGATGACAACCTCGATGATAGCGAAGCAGAGGGTACACACAGCCCAGAGGACGCCCACCGCCCGGGCGCTACGGATAAACTCTGTCTGGTAGAGACGAGCTACCTCAGCGGTGTGGGGGGTCATCGCCATGACTACTGGGGGGAGAAGGGGTTGGTCAGGGAGGAGATGACAATATCAACAACAGCAATATCAACAACAACAATATGGCAGGGACATTTATTTTTTTCTTAGTTAATTCCATAGTATACAGTGCCTTCAGAAAGTACTCCGGGATGCTGACCTTCAAGGCGGAGTTGCAAAGAAAAAGCCATATCTCAGACTGGCCATCTTAATCTTTTCTTTTTATTGGCCAGTCTGAGATATGGCTTTGTCTTTGCAACTCTGAAGGTCAGCATCCCGGAGTCGCCTCTTCACTGTTGACGTTGAGACTGGTGTTTTGCGGGTACTATTTAATGAAGCTGCCAGTTGAGGACCTGTGAGACGTCTGTTTCTCAAACTAGACACTCTAATGTATTTGTTCTCTTGTTCAGTTGTGCACCGGGGCCTCACACTCCTCTTTCTATTCTGGTTAGAACCAGTTTGCGCTGTTCTGTGAAGGGAGTAGTACACAGCGTTGTACGAGATCTTCAGTTTCTTAGCAATTTCTCGCATGGAATAGCCTTAATTTCTCAGAACAAGAATAGACTGACGAGTTTCAAAAGAAAGTTATTTGAGCCTGTAATCGAACCCACAATTGCTGATGCTCCAGATACTCAAATAGTCTCAAGAAGGCCAGATGTATTGCTTATTTAATCAGCACAACAGTTTTCAGCTGTGCTATCATAATTGCAAAAGGGTTTTCTAATGATCAATTAGCCTTTAAAATGATAAACTTGAATTAGCAAACACAACGTGCCATTGGAACACAGGACTGATGGTTGCTGATAATGGGCCTCTGTAGATATTTCATTAAAAGTCTGCAGTTTCCATCTACAATAGCCATTTACAACATTAACAATGTCTACTCCTGAGTGGCGCAGTGATCTAAGGCACTGCATCGCAGTGCTAACTGTGCCACTAGATCCTGGTTCGAATCCAGGCACTGTCGCAGCCGGCAGCGACCGGGAGACTCATGGGCGGCGCACAATTGGCCCAGGGTAGGGGAGGGAATGGCTGGCAGGGATGTAGCTCAGTTGATAGAGCATGGCGTTTGCAACGCCAGGGTTGTGGGTTCAATTCCCACGGGGGGCCAGTATAAAAAAAAAATATGTATTCACTAACTGTAAGTCGCTCTGGATAAGAGCGTCTGCTAAATGACTAAAATGTACACTGTATTTCTGATCAATTTGATGTTATTTTAATGGACAAAAAAATGCTTTTCTTTCAAAAACAAGGACATTTCTAAGTGACCCCAAACTTTTGAACGGCAGTGTAGATACACACAATACCCCAATAATGACAAAGTGAAAACATGTCTTTGTAGAACTTTGTAGAATCACCTTTGGCAGCGATTACAGCTGTGAGTCTTTCTGGGTAAGTCTCTAAGAGCTTTCCACACCTGGATTGTGCAACATTTGCCCATTATTCTTTTCAAAATTCTTATAGCTCTGTCAAATTGGTTGTTGATCATTGCTTGACCACCATTTTCAGGTCTTGCCATAGCTTTTCAAGCAGATATAAGTCAAAACTGTAACTGGGCCACTCAGGAACATTCACTGTCTTCTTGGAGAGTGGTACTCAGTAACGTGTTGTATTGGATTTGCCCCAAACATAACACTTTGTATTCAGGACAAAAATGTAATTGCTTTGTCAAATTTTTTTGCAGTATTACTTTAGTGCCTTGTTGCAAACAGGATGCATGTTTAGGAATATTTTTATTTTGTACAGGCTTCCTTTTGTCATTTAGGTTAGTATTGTGGAGTAACTATAATGTTGTTGATCCAGCCTCAGTTTTCTCTTATCACAGCCATTCAACTCTGTAACTGTTTTAAAGTCACCATTGGCCTCATGGTGAAATCCCTGAGCTGTTTCCTTCCTCTCCGCCAACTGAGTTAGGAAGGACGCCTGTATCTTTATATTGACTGGGTGTATTGATACACCATCCAAAGTGTAATTAATAACTTCACCATGCTCAAAGGGATATTCAATGTTTGCTTTTTATTTATTTTAATCTACCAATAGGTGCCCTTCTTTGCAAGGCATTGGAAAACCTTGGTTTTTGAGGTTGAATCGGTGTTTGAAATTCACTGCTCGACTGAAAAACAAAAAAACTGAAATATCACATTTACAGTACATACTATATACATTTTACAGACACAATGTATTTTACAATAGTTATCTTTTGTTTGTTTTTAATCCCATCCTTCAGCTACCCTCAACCCCTCCCATCTATCTCTGAAGACCAGCCAGTTTGATTTTTATTTGCCATATATTTTTCACTGTGCTGTTTTACAAAAGTTCTGAACCTATATGCATTTTACGGACACAGTATTTTTTACATGAGTTATCTTGTTGTTCTTAGTCCCATCCTTCAGCTCCACTCAACCCCTTCCCATCTATCTCTTAACACCATCCATTTTTTATTTCTATTTGCCATATACTTTTCAACTGTGATGTTTCACAAAAGTTCTGAACCTTTCTATTCTCATAGTTTCTACAGATTGTAAATTAAAGATAAACATTTTTGCTACAAGTATTATTATATTATTGATCGATTGACTGTGACTTTTCAAATCACCAAGCAGTGCTATTTGCAGAGTTAGCGCCAGGTAAATGTTGCCATAACAAAGGCATTGAATACTTATTGACTCAATACATTTCAGCTTTTCATTTTTTATTAATTTGTAAACATTTCGAAAAACATAATTACCACTTTCACATTATGGGGTATTGTGTGTAGGCCAGTGACAAAAAAAAATCTACATTGAATCCATTTTAAATTCAAGCTGTAACAACAAAATGTGGAAACAGTAAAGGGGTGTGAATACCTTCCGAAGGTACTGTATGTATCTGATATATAGTATGCAATGACATGATGTACACAGAGACAGACAGACAGTATTTAATAATCATAGACAGACAGACAGTAATGAATCATATAGAGAGACAGACAGACAGTAATGAATCATATAGAGACAGACAGTAATGAATCATATAGAGAGAGACAGACAGTAATGAATCATATAGAGACAGACAGTAATGAATCATATAGAGAGAGACAGACAGTAATGAATCATATAGAGACAGACAGTAATGAATCATATAGAGAGAGACAGACAGTAATGAATCATAGAGAGACAGACATACAGTAATGAATCATATAGAGAGACAGACAGTAATGAATCATATAGAGAGACAGACAGTAATGAATCATATAGAGACAGACAGTAATGAATCATATAGAGAGAGACAGACAGTAATGAATCATATAGAGAGAGACAGACAGTAATGAATCATATAGAGAGAGACAGACAGTAATGAATCATATAGAGACAGACAGTAATGAATCATATAGAGAGACAGACAGACAGTAATGAATCATATAGAGACAGACAGTAAGAATCATATAGAGAGAGAGACAGACAGTAATGGAATCATATAGAGACAGACAGTAATGAATCATATAGAGAGAGACAGACAGTAATGAATCATATAGACCAGACAGTAATGAATCATATAGAGAGAGACAGACAGTAATGAATCATATAGACAGACCAGTAATGAATCATATTAGAGAGAGACAGACAGTAATGAATCATAGAGAGACAGACTACAGTAATGAATATATAGAGAGACAGACAGTAATGAATCATATGAGAGACAGACAGTAATGAATCATATAGAAGAGACAGACGTAAGATCATATAGAGACAGAAGTAATGAATCATATAGAGAGACAGAAAGTAATGAACTCATCTAGAGACAGACAGTAATGATCATATAGAGAGAGACCAGACAGTAATGAATCATATGAGAGAGACAGACAGTAATGAATCATATAGAGACAGACAGTAATGAATCATATAGAGAGACAGACAGACAGTAATGAATCATATAGAGAGACAGACAGTAATGAATCATATAGAGAGACAGACATACAGTAATGAATCATATAGAGAGACAGACAG